CCGTCTAGTACCATAAAGGTACTCTTTTACCATTTTCTTTTTCATATCCTTTACTATTTTAACGTGCACGAGTACATCGACCCTAGCTAGCATCATAAAGGGGTGAGCTTCATCTATTCAACATGCACATACAATCACTTAATATAACAATCATATCATTTCATTTCATATAACACATAAACCTTATCATATAATGCCATAAAATATAATATGTATTTTGCATGATCAACTATTTGATAAGAATAACAAAATCATATTCTAAATTAATTATAAAAATTTCATAAACAAGCTTGAATATTCAAAACATATAATTGGAGAGAAACAGAAGTCGTTACTGTAAATAAAGAATCATGTATACTTACAGAAATTAGGAAAATTAATTCTCTTTGCTAATCCTCCTTCCTTTGAAGTCACCACAAATAACACCTATAAGAATTTATTTAGTATCCAACGGCTAAAGCTAATCATCTTAAAATTAAATCAATCTATTCCTACGAAATTTTCATAGTTCTCTTTCTCTCCCTCTCATTTAAAACATAAAGCATATATTCTAAAAATTCATTTGTTATCCAAGTAATCCCTTTATCATTACTTAAAATAATTCAAAATAATTTCTATTTTCGGATTTAATATAAAACCCTAATTTGGAAAACCTATTTTCATTAAAATGCTTACTTTTGCATGTCAAAAGGAATCAAGGGTTAATGACATCCTTCAAACCAGATAAGAAACGATGGCATTTCTCTTCTGCATTGGGTATCATATGTGAGACATACCTAAAAAGTCTAGTGAACTCAGTCTCATACTGAGTAATTGTTCTATCACCTTGCACCAATCTGTTGAATTTATCTTGCATTTGTCTTCTAGCTGACATGATATATACCAGTATCTAAATATTTTCACAAACTCCTCCCAAGTAACTTGGCTGCTTGGTCTTCCTCCAAAGGTCTCTTGTTGTTGACTTCTCCACCACCTCTCTGCTTCACCATTGAAAGCATAGGCAGCTAAGGTAACCCTTCTATATTGAGGACATGACATTCCTTTCAAGATCTTCTCTACCTTCATTAACCTGTCTTCCGCCTCTGTGGGTCCACCACCTATGAACGATGGAGGCTTCATGTCTTGGAATAACTTCAAGTTTTTGTCCATTGGAGTACTTCCACTATCACCAGCCTGGGTTTGAGTACTTTTTATCATTTAGGTCATAGCTGCCATCATCTACGCAAAAGATTCCATAATAGCATTGATACTACTATTCGAAGGTTCTGCTACAACTGGTATCTCCCTCCTAATCTCTCCCGTAGTGCCATCAGTGGCATCGTTTTCAGGATCCATGACTCTGAGATATAACCGATGAAATAAAATTAGCAGTCTATAACAAATAACCTATACCTTAATTAACATAGAGAATCATCCTATTGGCTCTTTCATATTGATCAATATTCTTAAACCCTTTGCTCTGATACCACTTTTTTCACGACCCGGCCCGGTGAGCTCGCATAGGCGAGGTGGGAACGGAGGTCGGACGGTAGACTAAAATATCAACTCTCTAAATCAATCTCCAAAATATTTGAAAGAGCCACTAAAACAATAAAATTTAAAACACATAAGCATAACCTCAAGTATATTCATAAAATTATCTTTCTTCCGGAGCGTCTCTCCTACGGTAATCATTTCATTGCATATAACACATAAACCTTATCATATAATATCATAAAATGTAACATATAATTTGCATGATCAACCATTTTACAAGAGTAACAAAATCATGTTCTAAATTAATCATAAATATTTTATAAACATGCTTGAATATTCAAAACATATAACTGGAGAGAAACAAAGTCATTACTGTAAATAAAGAATCATGTATACTTACATAAATTAAGAAAATTGATTCCCTTTGCTAATCCTCCTTCCTTCGAAGTCACCACAAATAATACCTATAAGAATTAATTTAGTATCCAACGGCTAAAGCTAATCATCTCAAAATTAAATCATTCTATTCCTACAAAACTTCCAAAGATTCTCTTTCTCTCCCTCTCATTTAAAACATAAAGCATATATTCTAAAATTTCATTTGTTATCCAAGTAATCCCTTTACCATTACTTAAAATAATTTCTATTTTTGGATTTAACCTAAAACCTTAATTTGGAAAACCTATCTTCATTAAAATGCTTACTTTTGCATGCTAAAACTTCTCATTCATCAAAATAATATTTATGGAAAACTAATTTTTGGATTTATTTATTTAAAAAAAGTAGAAAAATATCATTTTTTGAGGAAAACTCAATTCATACCATTAGAAACCCTCTTAGAACCCTTAGGAACCACATATGTAAAAGTACTTTCAAAAATTTCAACTTTAGGGAAAACCCTAAAATTTCCAACTCAAATTTTCTAGAAAAAACTTCGTTTTCATGATTAAAAGCATTTCCTATAAATTCCATGTGGAAATTCTTAAGTGTTGGAAAACCCTAAAATTTCTTCCTTAAGAAAACTATTCGGGGAAATGTAATGCTTAAATAAATCATACCTTAGTCTTCCCCTTAGTCTCCTCTATAATTTCCCTCACATCCAACCGTCAGAAACAACCGCTGGAGCCGCTACCCAAGCTTTCCCGTCGCCTAGCCCGTCCGCCCTCTCCGCCTCCTTGCGTTTGGCCGAACGAAACATGCGAATGAAATGGGGAGGGTTCGGTTCGGTTCTCATAACTTAAGGAAATAGGGATTGCAAAAGACCCTTTTACCCTCACTTAAAACATCCAACCTTTAATAATCTTTAAGGGTATTATGGGTATTAAGAGACTTCTATGAATTTTAATTTCTAAATTGAGCAAAATTAGATATAAGTTTTATACATCAAATATCTTAGAATTTTTTGTAGAATTTTATAAAATTATTTTCGCCAAATTCCGAAGACCTTGAAAAATTCACTTAAAACTCGTCGCGACGCATCGAAAAGCGTGCGAGGTCTTAAATAGCATTTTTCGAGTTTTACATCTACGTTCTCAAATTAGGATGTAATTGGATAGAATTGAAATCATGATTATAAACATATAACATTTACAAAGCTATTAATAATATTCACAATTTAAAATTTACAACTGATTGATGGAGTAAAAAACATGAATGTACATTAATATATACATAACTATTCATATTCAAGAAGGTTTATATACAATAATCATAAATTTCAACAATTTGTATCAGCAAGATTGTCTTGCATCATCACTTCATATCAACCCCTAATCGCCACCCTTCTCTAAATATCAAAAACTTATCTACTACACTAATAGCCCAATATGTTTCATGGAACTTGCCTTAGAAACCCAATGCATAATAAATGAAGCAATATGTGCTTGCACTATTTAATAGTAAATGAATCATCATATGTACAACATGAATATCAATATTTCTATTGGTGAATTAGTTACATTTAATGTTAATATAAGTGTTGTAGAGATGAGGATGCTCTGGTGGATGAGTGGTTTTACTCTTAAAGATAGGATATGAAATGTGTATATACGTGAAAAGGCTGGAGTAGCTCCAAGAAAAGATAAGATTAGAAAAAGTCGCCTTAGATGGTTTGGGTTTTTTCCTCACAATCATACAACACTGCATCATTGTATTCTTAAGTGATGTGGGGCTTTACACGTTATATTTTGAGTTAGAGAACGAAGCGCCGTGGCTCTGCATACCCAACGTTGCTAGTCAAGCTGGAGACAGAAAGTTGAGCACTGCTGCCCTCAAAATCAAGCACTATGAGTCGGGTTAGGCAGTTTGTTTCTCATTTTTCATGTTTAACTTGAAGGGTTGTGTCTCTAAGAGTTATTGTAGTGTGTCTCTTTGTTAGTTCTGAGTGTAGAATGGTACAAGACTTAAGAGGGACAAGGTGAGTGAGAGAAAGAGATTTGTATAAATTTCTCCTGATTTTCATAGGATTTCTTGGTGTGGTGTTGCTCCGTGGTTTTTTTTTTTTTCCGATTTCAGGTTTCTCCCCATTAAATCCTGGTGTTCTTTCTTTTCTGTTGCATTTTATATTTCTTGTCGTGTTTCGCAGCATGGTTTAACATCCCCAACACTGTTTAACTTGTATATTGACAATAACTTTCAAATGCCTTTGTCAACCAGAATAGCTGGCCACAATTAGTTTAGGATAAATTTGATGATTAGTGTTATCTTATTGGATCTATTATAAATAGAGATGCAAGGATCATATAATAATTTGATTGTATTTATTAGAATGAGAATGATGCTTGTCATTTTTTTCCCCTCCTCTTAGGCTGTGTACCTAATTCTTCTTCTTTCCTTGTATCTTCTACCCTTTTCCTAAACTTTTTTGTGGCGTCTGTGGATAATTCAGTTAAAATTTTGGATGGGTTCCTGATTTAATAGTGGTTAGCATTTAATGATTCCCCTGCGCTATCCATTACCTTTGGAGCCTACTCCATCCAACAACCAAAACCCTAAAAACATTGACATCCTAATTAAAGGAACCAGGTGCCATAAATATTGGTAAGCTGTAGTCCCCGTGGTAGTTAATATAACTAAAAAATGTTATGCACGTGACACTGCGTTGCTGTTCAAATTAAATGAAGAAGATGCTTGACAGACTAGGAAAGTGATTAGGAAGCCCTTATTGTTGCAGCAAAGCCAGTAGCCGATTTTGCTTTAGAATATCTTTTTCTCTCTTTTCCCTCGCCGTCAGTGGCATGAACTAAGACAAATGTCAAAATACTCAAGTCTGAATGGCTTCTTGAGCACTTCGTTATTCTGCAATTTTCAACTCCACAAGATATTGTACTTTATCTTATGGTGACTTACGAATCTTACTAAGGTGCATCACCATCATATTTAGTCCTATCTCAACTATTTGGGCGGCCTTTATAAATCCTTCCTCTCTGCCCATTTCTTCTATGTGGTTTTGACTTTATTTTACAAAAAAAATGGTTTTTTTTAGTATTAGAAAACTTTGATGATCCTTTTGTATTGCTCATCAGCAAATCTGCTCTTGGAACACAAATGAGCAAGGAAGAGAAAAAAAGTTTAAAGCGAGAACTGCAATCCCTTAGGATGGAAGATATCTCATCGTTCACGGAATCTTTGCCTCCTGAATTTTTGTCGATACTACGAACTGAGTATGTACCCGTCACTTAGGTTTCGTTTGAGACAGTTTTTTTACTGTTTCTTAAAGCAACTTTCTAATACAAAAATTATTTTTTGTACTAATAACTGCTTTAAGAAGCAATAAGAAAGCCGCCCCAAACGAGACCTTACAATTCTTAAAAAAGCCATATTTGAAGTTGCTATCTTAACATCACTTTCATCTTTCATAGTGGTCTGTTGAGTTCCATATCGAGCAAACTTGGCGCCCCACGTCGCATGCGCCTTCTTGCTTATGCAAAATATGCAGTATATGGCCTTGCAACACATTCTTCTTCCAACCCTGGTGAGGTTCTGTGACATTGGAAATCCTGTTTTCTTTTATGGATTTAATGTTGTTTTTAAATTCTTGTTCAACAGATAAATATGGGCTCTCAAAATTCAGAGCAAACATGAGTTATCTTCAGTTGAGAGCATATATTGGTAAAAAAAAAAAACATCTCCAGTTTATTACATTTATGTCACTTATTAGAATGTAATTCTCTTCTCTTTCTCTTTCACAGAATTCATGGCGTTTCTTTTCAAAATTAAAGATTTTAAGCTTTCACTCGCAGATAAGCTTAGGATAATACTGCGTGAATTCACCAAAGTAACACAATTCATATATGACGTTATGTTTTTCAGTTTAGGGACTTTATAGTGATATATGTTATATTGTTATGAGAATAAAACATCAGCACTCGTGAAAGGATTGTTTGGTTTTGGGCGGGAGAGATTATTCTGTGTGGACACCGGACGGAGATTTTTCTCTTTGTCTATAGTAAAAGCGAAAACTATTTTTCATAACTAAAATGCATCCTAGGAATATTTTAATAAATAATTTGAGCGTATATCATATTATTATGAGTCAATCAATATTATTATAATATAAAATGATATCTAGGTGTGATAAGTTCAAATATTTTGGCTCTAATATGAAGAGCGAGTATATTGTTGAGGATATAGCTTATAGGGTTAAATTTGAGTAATTAAGATGGAGAAGTATCTTTAGAGTACTGTCATAATAGAATATCTTTGAGATTTAAGGATCATGGTAGCTTAGGTTGTATGGATCAAAGATTGTTGAGGCATTGATAGAGAAATTGAGTTTGACATAAATAAGAATACTAGGATACAGGATAATAGTATTTAAGGATGTATTAAGAAATGATTTTATTAGAGTGATGATAAAAATATTATCGGTTGAAGATAATAATAGTGAAAGATTGTGATGTGAAACAAACAAGAATTGCACAGAAATATTTAAAAGAATCATGATGCTTGCTTCTTAAGAATAATGTTTCGTAAGGTGAGATTAAAGAATTCTCAATCATCAATTTTATTATTGTAAGCGATTACAAGACTATAAGTTTAGGACAAATTAAGATAGATTTGAAATTATCATAGTAAAAATAAATATGTGGTAATAAAATCCCGCGGTTAATGTTTAGAAAGTTCACGATAAGTTACAATACTCACTCACGCTCAAAGTACGGCTTAGCGGAGAAAGGTCTTCAGCACACCAAACGATGCCACTAGGAATGTCGCAACGCCAAGAGTCTTAATTCACAGAAAGGTCGTCGGTGGTGGAAGAGGAGTGAATCGACCGGTGATTACACACGATCCGGTGGGAATATGTTCTTCAACGGAAGGCACGAGCGTGAAGAGGATGCGGAGGATGTATTCGTTGGCGGTCTCGTCGACGTCGAGATTCACATCAAAAAAAGGTGAACCAAGGAGATACCTTCTTCCTTGGTCATCAAAGACGAAGCCGTGGTCGATTTTAGGATCGGTCATGCACCATCGTTGAGAGAAGTATAAGGAGTTGTCTTCTTCCCTTGTCTTCCAATGATATGATAGGCACCGGGTTCAAAGGTGGGGAGGAGCCAAGAGAGAGGTCGGCTAGGGGGGAGTTATGTGGGTTGAAATGGGGTTAGGGTTTGTGAAGGTTGGGTGAAGAAGAAATCTGAAATTAAGTTCAAATTTTGGGAAGTTTGGGAGGGAAACTTTGAAATGTTGGTTTCAAATTAGTCATAATCAAGGCATTGATTGGGAATTAATTGGGAGGAACCAAACATGGGCCAGCGGTATATGAGAGAGAGGGAGGGGAATTTATTCCAAAACCTAAAATTAAATTTAGGATTTGAGGGGATTTGGGGGGAAACTAATTTGAAATTTGATTTCAAATTAATTTGTAATGAATGCATTGATGGGAGACTTAATGGGGGGAATCCATGCATGGCCGACATCATGGAGAGAGAGGGAAGAGGGATTGGGGGGATTCAGGCTCTTTCCATACAAGATACGCTAATGAGGCGGGAAAATAATGACTCCACCAAAATTAAAACTTCAAACGGATTCAAATTGAGAAATTTTCCTTATTTGGATTTTTGCGAATATGGAAAGTTTTGAAATTCAAAATTTGAAATTCAAATTTGCTAACTTCTCCATTTATTGCAAGAACCCAAATTAGGGAGTCATTATGAAGATTTGAATCATCATAATGGCTTGAACCATGAGGGTGGTCGGCGGCCCAAAGGGGGGAGGAGATGTCACCGTCGGGTTGGGATGGGCCTTGATGGTGGTTGGATTTGAAGTGGGGAAGCTAGTGGGTGAAAGGATGTGAGGGATAAGGGGAAGGATATGTGGCCGACGGCTTGGGGAAAAGCTAGGGTCGGCGGGTGAGGGAAGAAAAGAAGAACGGGGATGAAGGAGGTAGACCACGAGTCACGGACTCTTCCAATGACTGGTGGGTTATCACGACCCCAATATCCGTGTAGCGAAAGGATTCATCTGATTGTTCTATTGCCTCTTTTTTTTTTTCTATCGGTTTCCTCATCTGTTGTTCATATCAATCCATACATACATATATCCAGAGCCAGAGAAAGATGGCCATATATATAGGCCTCAAAAGAAATTAAAAGACACATTTGCTCCTTGGGCTTACATAAGACAAGAGGGTAAAAAGGGAAAGTGCAAAATTAAATTAAAATACACTTAATAAACTAAAATAAAACAAAGTGATCTCGGTCGTCGATCTTCGACTCTTCCTTTGAATATCGTCCACCGTCGGATGTTCGCATCATTTTCTCTCTTTTTTCATGTGCTTCCTGCGAATGTAATCATTTTCTCCTCTTTTACACGCTTTCTCCTCTTTTGCGTGCTTCTTCGTCAAATTCCGTAGCCCAATTTTTTGTCGTAGGTGAACAGTACGACGCCACTATTAGTGTCGCACTGTTCATCTGCCGAACTTTGGTTTGAGATTTGGAGTTCGAATGGACCGAATGGTTGACTGCATACGATGTTATTCAGTTCGGTTGAAGATGATCTTATTATTAGATTTATCCATCTCTCATCATTAAATTTAGAAATTTTCTAAATGTTGCCCACTTTTAAGTTTTTTATCTATAAATTTATCACGAAATCCCAGATCTGTTGATGCAACATATCATCCTACCTGTTGAATTCTTGTTCGAATCTTTGCACATGTATTACAGTATTAGTGTGTGACTAATATTATGTTCATATTTTTCAAATAAAAATTTAGTAGGCTTGCTTGTTCAAATAATATTATCAGGAGGCATATAAAATTAATTTTATCTCGTATTTGAATGAGTTTCAAATACATCATAAATTTGTTATAATTATATGCATATTAAATAGGTTTTAAAAGTAAAAAAATTAATAATATAAATTTATATAAAAATAAATATAATTTTAATAAGAATGAATTTATATTTTAATCTTATATAAATACAAAATTACAAGTTTTTAAAAACAATGCTTATAGGATAATAGGACATAAGGCCGAGAAGGAAGGGGGTGTCCATATTTTGCCATTATGCCTACATAATAAGAAGTTTAGAATCTCGAGGAAGGCAGTCCATATGTTGTAGGTATACATAAGAGTGATACATATATATTATGGTTTAAAAAAAAAGAACCCAAAAGAATAAGAGTGTTTGATTGAAGGTTTTACATTTCTATTAAGAAATAGGCACAAGCTCATCGATTCATGTGTCATTAACCCTCTCTACTGGATTGAAGACGACTAATTTTTCTCTTTCAAGTCTTAGATGTTAGAATGGACAATAAGGATGAGACATAGGAGTGGACAATGGAAATATAGTGTGGTTCTACTAGTTGAATACTCCAAGTATATTATTAGATAGATGGAAACTCTTTTAATTTGTTGAAAGTGTGATTCCAACATTAGTTCTTACATATATATATATAGTATGAAGATTGCTTTATATCTTATCTATAGCGACAACTAATTCAAAACAATATATCATATAATTTGTTTTCCCATGAAAAATCTTATAGAAATTACATCTTATCTCATATAATTCTTCATGGATATAATCATAATGTAAATGTTACTTTTTATTTCTTTCACAAATTAAATTTATATTATTTTGAATTTACATATATTGTGCTATAAATGTTAAGTTATAGCTCTTGTGCTGCATTATATGTTATGCCTATTATGCTATCGATCTTTAAATGTATTATGTCGTGTTATAGTTATTGTATTACATCCACTATAATTTATTATTGTAATTTTACTCACTTTGATGTATAAATCTTATAGTCCACTTTATTATTGATACATGATCAAAAAATTATATTGATCGGTCAGGAATCTCGAGGCAAAATCAAGTTGGAAACTTTCGAAATTAAAATTGGGACCATCGGAACTCCGATTTCGTAAACTTATAGTCAAACTGAAAGACTCAGAAATACGAACCCAACGACACAAAATTCGACTTAATTTGAGCCCAAATAGGTCTGAATCGAGGACCTGATGCGTTGTTGGAAGGTTCAAACCACAATTTGAATAACCAAACGTTTTCCAAACATGACATGTTTATAGTCGAGTCGAGCGGCTCGACGAGAAGAATTGAACGAGACCAAGATCGTGGAATTCTAACATCACTAAGACCTTTAAAATTCTAAGGAACGATCCACAATCAAGGGATTCAACATTGGTCGTCCATCCAAACCACTCTCCATTTACCCTTGATCTTCATCCTATCTATGGGTCATGCCACTCTAGAAAATCTATAAATAGACATCTTCTTCCTATTGAAAGGGGACCCCTAAGACTAAGGAGAAAAAAGAGAGATCAGATATCACTATAGCCTCCTTGCCTCCTCGACCACCACCTGGAGTTCCGATGGACCACCACCTGAGGCCTAAAACTTCCGTCGGACCACCACTTGCAGCCCTTAGTTTTGCCCGACCACCATGTGAGGCCTTGAGCTCTGCTAGACCACCACTTGAGGCCATGAGCTCCGTCAGACCACCACATGAGGCCCTGAGTTTCGTCAGACCACCACTTGAGGCCCTGAGCTCTACCAGACCACCACTTGAGGCGCTAAGTTCTGTCAGACTACCACTTGAGGCCTTGAGTTATACCGAACCACCATCTGAGGTTCGGACTTCCGCTGGAACACCTCTTAAGGCCCAAAGTTTTGATGGACCACCACTTGAGGCCTAAACTTATGCCCGACCACCATTTGAGGCCCAGAGTTCTGCCAAACCACCACCTGATGCCAAAAGTTCTACCAGACCACCACTTGATGCCCAGAGTACTACCGGGGCCATCACTTGATGTTCGGAGTTCTTTCGGACCACCGCCCAAAGCTGAAGTTCTGCCAAACCAATGCAAGACTACCAACTGACTCTTGAATTTTCAAGTAGCACCAAAATTCTGCCAATCCACTAAGTGACGCTGGACTTTCATCCTCGTTTGTCACTAAATTTCAACCAAAAGGTTGACATTTGTAATTTGATCGCTCTCAAGGACGAGTCAGTCCATTGTAATATATCCAAATACTAGTGGTATCATTTTAAACTGGATCAGGCCCTATGGTTTTTCCCCTCTTCAGGGTTTTCCACTTAAAAATATATTGTGTTCTATGTGTGTGAGCTAGATATCCATACAACGCTAAGACGTAGCATTTTAACTCTATTGCCACGTATATTCTAGCCCGCAAAAATTATAATTCATATTTAAATCATATTTGAATTGTCACCAAACAATCTTTTCGAGTAATGATTGAACAATCCTCAAACCATAATCAAATAAATTTTAAATCATATTCAAACAATCATTGAATGATGATCTAACAAATTTTAAATCATAAAAGAACAATCTTCAAAATATATTTAAATATTATTAGAACATGATTGATTCAAATATGGTCTGAAGAAGATTCAATTAAGCATCGAACACGAGTCCAAAGTATGCTGCAAAATTGTTTAAACATTATCAAATCACGTTCAAAATATTTTTTGTTGTTGTGGGAGACTTAGGCTTCGTTTGGGACGGCTTTCTTATTGCTTCATAAAGCAGCTTTCTAACATAAAAAAAATTTAATTTATTAGTAGAAAGATGCTTTAAGAAACAATAAAAAAGTTGTCCCAAACGAAGCTTTAAAATAAGTTGTTAACAGTCAATATAAGAGTATTTTGCTCCAAATGAAACTTTCAAATATGTTCTCCAAATAAAACAAATATTTCTTTAATTAATTCATATATCTTCAACTAATTTTTTTTTTAATGAGAACTACCCAATGGTAAAAGATAAATTATGTACAGAAAATAGAAAATAAATAAAGTGCTGGAACTTAATTAAAATAAAATTAACATTGTTAACTTTTAGTTATTCTAATTAAATTAAAAAAAAAGAATATTAAACTTAAACTTAATACTCTATTTATTATCCAGTGGCGGGTTCTTACAATCGAAAATCGCACAGATCTCACCGCCATGACGGCTCCGCCTTCGTCCCCCGCTCCCCAATCCACCGCGGATACCGTCCCCTCTCCGCAACCCTCCTCCTCCACCTCAAAACCCTTCCTCACTTCCCCCACCCCATCTTCTTCTGCCATCCGCTCTCCCATGTTCTCCGCTCAGCCTCTTCTTGGCAAGCCTATCAATTCTTCCGCTCCGCCGCCTCCTTCACACGGCATTCTTTATCCCGTCGGAGCTTCCGTTCACCGGGGATTCCCGGTGAGATCCTCCGGTGGTGTTCGCGCCGTCGATCAGTTGGTCACTGTGGCCAATCCTGCATCGTACCTTCGAAGCAGCAGCCCCATGGCGGTTATGAACTTTGCCGCCGCAATGGCCGCCGCGTCACAACCTAGGCCCTATTTATATGGCGGTGTTGAGCACACCGCCGCCGCAGCAGCTGCATCTCATGGTATGAGGCCGCCACCGCCGCAGGGGCAGCAGCAAGCTCATCCTTTTGTGGTCCCACGTCCTGGAGTTTCCCGAGGGGCTTCCGTTCCCGCTTATCCCAAGGTTTGCTATTTTCTACTCCTATTACAGCTTTATCGTGGCAATTATAACTGTTTGATTTAACTCATACTACCTAATGTCATTGAATGGCAAATATAAGATATTTGATTTTTCTATTCATTAAAATTAATGATTAAACCAAGCACAATGCATTGATAGGCAACACCGTTATATGGATAGTGCTGTTATACCTATAACATTGAACGAAACATACTTCTATAGATAAACTGGAGTTTCTGATAAAGAAACCACACGGCTTGTAGTAGATCCAACATTATTTCAAAAATCATTGCATCTTGCCTTTGGTATGTATTAATCTTTACTTGTTTTTGATCTATGGAAAGCATAAATGGCTGTGATATTGATTGGCACGGCGGTTAAGATGTTCAAGATTCTAACATTCATCAAAAGCCTATGATATGGAGCCATATAATAAAGTTATGAGATAGAGAAATAGAACATATACATAGAAAGGTACATCAGGTTTAGAGAATTAATGTTGTTTTGTGTTAGAAAAATCGATTTTGTAATGTGTGTTAAGACTTAATATAAGGTATAGAGGGTAGATAAATGTTATTCATATGATTTTATTGATCTTAAGGAGGGATATGATCAAGTAGTGCAAGAATTGGCTTTGTGGGCATTAAGGAATAAAATAGTGTATGCCAAAGGTATGTTTATGTTATTAAAGATATGAATGATGGGGCAATGATTAATATTAGGAGTTTGTAGAGTGACCAAAGCGTTTTCAAGTGCTATTGCATTATATCAAAGAATGACATTGGGTTCATATCCTTTTGATTTGGTTATGAATATACTTAAGAAGGATATTCAAAGCGAGCTACTTTATTTCATGTTTCTCACAAATAATATAGTTCTAGGCGAGACATATGTTGAATGAAATGAAAAGATAAAACAATTGGAGAAAATGTTTAGCTATATATGATTTAGAATTATTATAATAAATGTTAGGTATATGGTATGCGGTTTTAGCGGGTTTGATATTAACATGTATCGTCTAATATCACTAGGAGATGAAATAATACATTGATGTGATCGGTTTAAATATATTGAATCTATTATATAAAATAATAAATGTATAGATGATAGTTTAACTTCAGGGGTTAAGACTTATTGGTTAAAATGAAGTTGTGCATGAGAAGTATTATGTGATAGGATGATATCATGAAGATTTAAATGATAAATTTAATTAAAATGTAATTAGGGTATGGATTTTAGTGCTGTCAATACAAAAGTCGTTGCAGGTAAGTTGTGCATGTTGGAAATGAAAATATTAAGATTAATTTGTGAAAAAAATAGGAAGTATAATATAAGGAAATGATTATATCAAGAGAATAATTCAAGTGATATCTGTTGAAGATAAGTTGAAATAAACTTAAGGGTTTTGAACATGCACACTGAAGAGTAAAAAATCATACCCCATTAGACAATTGGATAAAATTAATGCTGGAGTATTAGTAAGGAATCTAGGTGGACCTAACATAGCATCGATAAAAGTTGTTCAAAAAGGATTTATGAAGATTAGGTTGAACTTCTCAAACTTCACTTTTTGCTAATGAATAGAAAATAATGATTCATAATGGAAATTTCACATAGTTGGGATAATACTAATGGTGATGATGATGATGAAAGCTTTCAATGTGAAAAAATAATACTGATTCTAGGAGTTTAGTGAGAAGTGCCAATAATTGCTTTTGAATCCCATGGTAGCTGCACTGAACGACATGGCCATTACTGTGTCTTTGAATCTAATAGATGAACTGATACAAGACAAGTCGTGTGGCGATCTGGAGCGAACTACCAAATCTCTGCAGTGAAATCTGTTATTTAAATATCAAGGTTGCCAAACCTTTTCATTAATTTTTTAAAAATGGTTGCAGACGTGAGGGAAAGAGTTGAAGAAATACTTTGAGAAGGGTTCATTTTCCGGAAATGAAGTCTAATTTGCCCAAAATGATAGAGGAGGATAAAAAACATGAATAATGTGGCTAGAATTATTGATAAATTCTTTGTTGGAAGGATATTTATTCACAGGTATGTCATTTGATACGCTTTTAGGTTAGCAGCCTCATTGTGTTATTTTCAGATAAAATTATTCAAGTTAAATAATTTTTTTTTCTTTTGGCCCTCAGCTTATAAACTAAATTCTACAGAAATTAATGTCATTTAAGTTTTATCTTGACTTTTAGATCAAGATCGTAAATAGAAAGTAATGAAAATTTCCAGAATAGTTCTTTGCTGTGATTATCCGCTTCATATCATTGCAGCAATATGCACCATCTATTTTGTTCAAATTCATGGACATATAATTATCAAATCCACAAATTTCTGTTATGTTCCTATACTTGTTGTTTTGGTTGAGCTTGCAATTGTTATGACTCTTCCCTTCTCATGTTAATAATTTTCTTATATTTATTGTTCATTTCTTTTGTTTTTCTTAAACTCCTAAAAAATTTATTGTTGACTCATCCTTTTGTAGTCCCACGTCCTGGAGTATTTGTGCTTCACGAGATCAGAATTTTGTTTTAAATGAAGTCCTATAAGAAATTGAATTTTTTTGGCATTATGGCATGATCACAGATAATGTGAACCAAACTGCAAACTGATACTGCTGCAACTTGATTTATATTTTATAATAGAGCTTCTTGTTCTCTTAAGATCCCTATAAATGGTTGTTTATCCATGACAATCGATAGAAATTTATTAAATATTAGATCTGAAAAAGTATTTATGCTACATGGTGGCTATGTAATTCATCATTTGGCGAGTATCGTATCATTTCTATAACCATCTTTAGGTTTTTTTATAGCTATTAAAAGACTGACTAGCGGTGATAGTCAATAGAAATTAACACAATATTAGATATATAAAAAAAAAACTTCTGCTTCCTGATGGCTATAAAACATCACTGATCAACATGGCATAGCCTTCATCATGTTGCAGCTATCTAATCATTTTCATGAAAATCTTGAGGTTATTTGTGTAATCATATTATAGGATACGATGTTTCGCGAGGTAGGGGCTGAAGCTGCACAATTTGGTTTATTTCTTTATAGCATCTATTTATGTAGCTGTTGATTTCCCGCTCATATTGACCCAGTTTCGACAAATAGTTCTATTTTGCAGTCCATCTCTTTTTCCCTGTTTTCTTCCTATTCCTGATCTAAGTTCAATTACTTGTTTAAATCAATTTTCTTTAAAAATAAGGCATATATATTATATTCCTCTGACGCTGAAACTTCATTAGCTTCCTTCGTGCATTATTTTCATATATTCCCTAGGCTTTTTTTTTTTGTTGATTGTGCTTAGTCTCATTCATAAAGGTAACGAGACTTGAATTCCTTGTCGGGCATTTTGATTCTATGTGATTTTTGTTATTTATTCTGTTTGCTTCTTCTTTATGTACTTTCCCAGACTTAATACATTACAAATTACATTCAGTTGAAGTTCAGCATGGTAAACTATTCAAGTCAAGGTAAACTAGAATTGGTTGTGAATGGAAATCACTATTTTATGGGCTCTAAAAATTTGCTTCGCGGCTTTGCTGTGAGAATTTTGGGTGTTCCAGGTCAAATTTTTAGAAGACAAAGAATTGCAAATAAGATACTACCCAGAGGTTGACTCTTATTTTGTGAGGGCTTTATGATGTGGTTTTAAGTTTCTCATAGGAGCAACTCTCTTTATTTAACTTCCTCTTTCAATGACTTGAGAGAAATTATAATTAAGGATATTCGTTAGAATCTAAATGGTTAGCGCATAATAGTAACATATTTCGTGTAGAGTTAGAAATTTACCACATTATACTTAAACTGGATGTTGGGAATGATTGATCGTGATCTCAAAGTTCCGTCATCTCGAGTTATGATGACCACTGGTTTATTTAGTCAGAAGAGATAGTCGATCCAACTTGATCAAATGATCATTATCGATAGCCATAAGTTGTTTTGTCTAAGGGAACTTTATAGACTTGAGGTGAATATTTGTTTATGGAGCAAATATAAGTGGACCTTTATAATAACCAAAATTTTAAAATGAATTGATTTGAAAACATGAGAATATGAATCCAGCAGACAGTGCCAGGAAATGTCTTTGTGACATTGAATGCTCTATTAGTCTATTCTATAGTAACTCCGGGTCTGCATGCAACGCAACAATGCTTGGTTTTTGGTGCCGCGACACCTTACACTAAAAATGATTTTTTAAATATTTTTAATCTAAATATCCTTGCCATCCCACCACCCCTTCCCTCATTTCATTACCTTGTCGGGGAAAGCAAGAAAGGAAAATAAGAAGAAAAGGGAGAGAGAAGAAGAGAGAGAAAATCTTCTGGGGCATTTTCATCCATCTCTTATGTTATGGATTTTGTTCTAATTGATATAGGCGACTAAATTCTTACTCCTGTTTTCAATGATTTGGAGTTTGGCATATTTCTTCCTTCTGAAATTGATAAAAATGCGATATCTCCCATTTTAGCGATCTTTTACCGTATAACTTTTGGTATGTGATAGATATTGTCATTTTGAATACTTTAACTAGTTTATATGAAAATTCTACCGGATGAATTGATAGTTATGATTTTTTGAAGTAATTGAATAGTGTATATATTTATATTTCATAGATTATTGTATTTCATGCATGATACTGAATATGCATAGAAAATTATGTGACTGATATAAGAAAAAATATGGCATTGGAAGAAAGGCTAACTAGTTGTAAAATATTTCAGGTTGGTTGGAGCAAGATATCTTGTATAGGAGAGTGGGTCAATACACTTTCTTTTAAATTATGGGTTGTAATGTAATTTCAGTATAAGATATAAGATATGGAGTCATAAAGGGACAAGATATGCTGACGGGCAGGAGTAACGACTCTTACAAGATAGCCATCTAACATCTGATGCTTGATACTAATATAATATACATGAGAACATCATGTAATTAGCTTGATGTCCTGTTTTGCTGAATTTATATCGATATGCATACATGATATGATGGATATAAAAATGATAGATACGATAGATGCCAGATAGGATAGACAAGATTGATGACAGATGTGACTGGTGACTGATGATTGATGACAGATAAGGTTGATAGCTGATTAAACTAATGACACATGATATGATTGATTGATTTATGTTAGGATTGATAAAGAAGATAACCGATAAAACTGACATACTAAGATGTGTTATGTAAAAAACTGATAAATTGATACAATTGATCGATACAAATAATATATTTTGATTTATAGATTTTCTTACATGATTTACAATATATTATTTCTCTTTTATATGCATTGATTTCAGTTGTAAGATTTTTGTTGCTTGTTGGGCTATGTGCTCATTACGTGATTTTTTCATGTTTTCAAATAAGGGTAAGGAGCCCGTAGAGTGAGGCTAATTAGTGGGTGATAATTTAGGTTTTATTTGTTATTTTGTAGCTTGTTATTGGCTATTGTATATATTATTTTTAAAACTTGACATATATGTAAATTTTTAATTAATAATAATATAATTATATTTTTTGCTTATATTTACTCTTGTGAGCTCTGGTTGATGTTTAAAAAATAAAAAGATGTACAATTCTTTTGATTTAGATTTTGGTAGTGACAACCTTAGCTTTGGCCATAACTGTAATTTAATGAGTTCATTTTGTGACAAAGTCTCTCGATATAAGGGCTTCAGTCCTAACTATTTCCCTGTGGTGTCATGTGGCAGCAAATTAACTAGTTAGATAATACATGTTATGTCATTAGTGCCTAGATAATTTGAGAATGAATCGTACCGATATGCTAGACAAATATAAATTTTTTTGCTAAATTTTATTATAGTTCAAGCCCTTGATGGTTAATTTTGGAATTTAGGGCCATTCTAAAAAATATAGTTTCCTTTGATTGATATTTTCATTTGACATAGCCATTATTAGGGTATGTAATGATTCTATTTTGTTATTTGAATATTGTCAACTTTGTTCCCTTGCAACAAAGAATCAGGTTTAAGTGTAAACTTAAGGAGTTACCTATGATTGGTGAACTCGAGAGTTTGTATTTTTATAATTAATTTTCTTTGTAAAAGACGTTAAAAGCCTACTGTGAACGTAAAATCAAATATATTTGCGGATTTCATAATCGTATGTTTATTTATGGGAATACGATTTATGGCGAGCTATTTAAAACTTATTGTTTGGATATCTTTCATGAATTTCAAGTCTCGTCAACTCCTGTTCTTGTAAGGAGGAGGATCAGATTTGAAATTGGAAACTTATAATTGCCCTTTGAATAGAATGACATATTTAGGAGCATGTTTATCTATTGGTGAATTTTAATATGAAAGAAGGGGTTTGTAGGATTTTAAAGTAATTGCACATATTTTGAGGTGTTGAATGCTTCTCAAGGCGGCAAAATTTGTATTCATATTACTTTCAGTTCATACAACATTCTCAAACATAAAATTTGAGAATTTAGCTCGTTCATCAAAGCACATGTAAACAAATATGATTTTGAGAAGATAGTTTGCATATTTAAAAATTATTGTAGTGCGTAGCTATTGCATGCTCTTCTGAGTGAGAGTTTGGCTTCACTTTCATTTTTTTTGAACATGTGTAGCATTCTAATCTCTATATTTGATATATTTATAAGCTATTTTGCACATTTTATGGTATGTTTGTACAATACACTTGTATATTTCTTGATGCCTTGCACGATGTACTTGCATTTTTCATGATATACTTATGTGATGCATTTGCATACTTGCATAATCTTTGTTGCGTTTACATAGTATGCTAGCACGTTCATTAGTAGATTTACATGTCTTTTGTGCGTTTATATTGTGTGCTTACACATCTTTTTGTTTGCTTGCAGAGTGCATTTAGTGCATGCACGGGAGAACATATTTTTTGTGATTTGATGCATCATTTGTGGAGCTTATATATATATATATATGTGCGTGTGTGTGTTTATTTGTATGAAATTTGTGATTTTGTGGAGCTTTTATATTAGAGTAAGTTCTATTATGCTGAATACACAGGGAGTCATAAATGTATGTTCGTAATATCTGATATGTGCTAAGCATTGGTGGGTCATAAGGGCTTGTTTTTTTATATGTTAGCACAAAGAGTCATAAGTGTTTGAATTCTAATATTTGTTTCTGATGGGATGTATAAGCATTTGAGAAAAATCTGTTATTTTTTTATTTGATATATGTACTTGTTTATTTACTTTTTCTGCATTTTTATTAAATTTCTCATAATTGCAAGCATTATTCTGTCCCGCATAGTGAACTTTTAAATGGTTTTAAAATTCAGTTAAATGCGTAATGATTTAATTATTAAAATTAAGATAAGTATGTTTGACCTGCTGAGCTTTGTTGGCTTATACCTATGTTGCATTATGTTTTAGGCACAGGAATGGGTAAGAAGCCGATTGAGTAGTTGTGGTCCATGTTCTGAACTATCTTAGTCAATATATGCATTTTCTAATTTTTTATGGTCATGGCCAATTCTGCTTTATTTTATTCCAGTTTGTAGCGGCTGGGTGAGAGAGATGGTGGGAGATTGTCAAAGAGCAACAAAGATCGAGAGGGAGAGTGAGATAGCGAGCGTGTGAGCTTGGGAGAGACAATGGGAGAGAGCATACTAGAAAGACGGGTCATGCACCTATGTGAGAAGAGGAGTGAGGGAGATGACATTCACACGACTGTAGGGACATGTGAGATGGATGGGGGAGTCGTGTGCTGAGGGAGATCTTTTTAATTTATTTGTTCTTTTTCCAAATTAGATCAACATATTTGTGCTATCTTTTTCAAATGCTTTATTCTTGTTAGCAAAGATTGAGCAATAGTGCCTACTTGTTTTAAAATGAAAATGCAAATATGTACAAGCAATCCCGATCTGTTAAATTAGGCCATGACATTTGAATCGCTGTTGTCCTGTGGCATTACTTGCAATTTGTGAGCCATTGTCACTATTATTATTATTATTATTATTATTATTATTTTTTTGTGAAACACAGTTCATGAAATAATTTGAGTTCTGGCTGGAAGGTCCAGTTGAGGTCCAAGTATTATGGTAGAAATACTACAAGTGCATGCTTCTTCCCTGGTCTAAGGTTGTTGCCTTAATGTGTGAACACGAATTACTTGCTTTGGTGCTCCTTTTCTTATTTAATTTGCATTGCAACGAAGTTTTGTTGCTTTGTGTTTTCATTTTGTATTTTCTGAAATTATTTTTACTTTCCCATAAATTTCAAAGTGTTTAAAGCCTGCATGTTTCTTCTTTTCCTTCTCTTTTCTGCGCCTGCTGTAGATGGACATGAGTTTGATCCCAATACCCTAAAAGAAAGAAAATAATCAACAAAAAATAATAAGAAAGAAATTGGAAAAAATTAACGCACCAATAGTATTTTTTGTCCTCCTTTCTGATTTCATAGTTGTCGTTATTTCTGTAACTAGTGATAGATCTCCTCCTGTCATGCCTTTATAATTTTCTACTTATATAGTTATTATACATTTTAATATAAATCGCTTTTTATCTTATTCTAAACCATCAGGTGACGTCACTTCCTGCCATGCCTCCAGCACCTGAGCACAGTGATACCAAGGAGAGGTAATTTGCAATTTGATTATGTCCCCATTTGGTAATTCTTTTGCCTGTTTTATGACTGCAGAAAGTTGTTGCGGAGCAGCTGGTTGTTTGGATAAAAATTGTCAAGCTTTTATTCAAGAAATTTATTTTTGAAAAAGTTTATTTTAGAATAAAATTTTAAAACTGCTTCAGAAAGCATTTTTCTGACATCTTCACAGCCTACTTATGAAAGGGACAAGACAAATCAATCGAGCCCTTAGTAAGTCCAGCTATTGTTGCTTCTTAACTTTCATTCAAAAGAAATTTTTCTCAAAGCCATTTTTAAAACATTCATAAAACTTCTACTGTTCAAAGAAGCAGTATTAGAAGCGGGCTATAGAAAACTATGCCAAACAGCTATCTATTGAATTTGATGAAATTTGTCTTAGTGTCTCTAACTATGGAAATGTGCAAAGGTGCAATTTAATACCTTTTTGCAATTCTAGCAGTTGACTTCTAGAGTGCTAGTGAGGTTTTTATAGTAACTGTTCCATCATACTTCCATTTTATTCTATTCTACATGGTTCGAATTTGAGCTTCAGTGCTTAACTGCATGATGTATTTATAGTAAAGCAGTTAGAAGTCTCCACAAATTGGCAACCTATTTCCGTACAACATTGTCTAGCTATTAAATAATCTATGATGATTTTCTTGCCGCCTAGTAATTGCACATTTAAGCAGCTTTCTCATTGCTTTGAAGTCCTTTTACTTCTCATTATGTTCCTCCATGTCTTATACTTTGTTTTTATTCACTCAAATTGGCACACAGCTTGTTTTGATCTGTTGGTTTGGAATTTTGGCTATCACCCCAGAGGTCTTGGGTTTGAAACTTGTGTATGTGATTGTGATGTGTGTGTGAGTTTGCCTTAATTGACTCAAAAGTCCCCCCCAAAAAAAAAAACACTCAAATTGGTATGTTCAATTTTGTTCATGTGCCTGCTATGGTGCTACCTTTCTCCTCATCTTGATTAATTAAAAATATTATAATACAGGATGATTAAGGATTTTGGGTTACTAATACAGCCTGGAATAAGATGCACAATAAAACTCAAAAAGTCACAGGCTGTGGGGAACTTTTAGCTTCAACAAAAATTAGTCATTTTTAATGTAAAAACAACAAAAAAAAGCTTCATTCATTCTTAGTAATAATTCAACAGTCCTTAAATCTATAATTCCAAAAGACAAAAAAAGAAGGAACATTAGATTTTTGCAACTGTCATGATCACATTACACAAATGAAACCTACATTTATTACGCTTGGCAATATCCCAATCACATATGCACACGAACGACTAAAAAATTAATGAAAGAATAAAAAATTAAAATCACCCAAAAGAAGAATCAAAACTCATGCCTGTACAAGGAGATTCGCCTCTAGAAGTAATTATCAACATCCACCAAACACTCGAAGAATACACATCTAACTAGCACACACACAAGAATTGAACAATTGGATTTTTATTATAATATTCAATGTTCATTGATATTTATGTGCTTTTGAAGTCTTATTTATAGCCCACAACAAATACAAAATATGAAACTTCTAAAAAAATTTCAATATTTAGTCAAATAAAATAGGTTCAATACATCCTTTATCAATTGCGAAAAGATCAAATCTCTCATAGAAAGTCCAACTTTTGATCCAATTTTCGGATTACCTTCAAGGGATATTAACACAGGCCATTATTTAAAATTGTGTAATATGAGGCACGCCTTAGTGCAATTCTAGTGAAAAACGTCTTGAGACTTACACCTCGAGTTTTTTTTTTATGAGGCTTGTGCCTCGGCTTGGCTAAGTCCTGCCTTGAGGCGCAGTTCGTTTTACTGGCGTGGGGCGTACGCCTCACCCAATTTATATATATTTTTATTAAAATTTATCTAAATTCTTAACTAAAGCCCTGAATAAATCTTGATTTCATGCACCACAAGCCGCAACAACTTCCTCTCAACCGCCTCGACCTCCAGCCCACCGCCTCGACCTCCAGCCCACCGCCTTTGTCGTAGCCACCACCGGGAATCACTTGAAAGCAGAACACCACCACCTCCTCCTCCTCTAAAAAGTTTAGGTATTATTCTCATTTTATGTTGATGACAAATATTTATGAAAGAGAAAGATGATTGAAATAAATGAAGAAGAAATAGATTAAGAGGCATTGAATTCCATAGGATGAGGCGGTGGAGAGACTAATTTGTTATGATGATGACTCAAATAAAGATCTCCTCAAGTGATTTTTGAATTGCTACTAATTATGTCAGTTTTTTTTTTAAATTAAATGTGGATGAGTAGGGAACCGAGAAAGAAGAAATTTGGAGTTGAACTTGATATTATAGGATACTTTTATGTAATTTCTATATTTCATGTTGTTTTGCTCTTGTAATATTTGAATTTCAATTCTCTTTCACGTAATTTATCACTTTCCGCTTTACGTCTTGTGTAATTTTTTGCTTCATATGTCTGCTAATTTGTTATTTCATAGTTCAATAGAAAATTAATATGTCATTATTTAAGATAGTATTTGGGTATTATATAAAATTCACTTTTAGCTTTTATTTTCAATTTACGCAATTTTTTCGATTTTGAGGCTTCCGTCTTGCCTCACGAAAAAAAATACATCAATACCCAATTGTGCAATTTTAAACCTTGAGACAGGCAATTAAAAAAAAAAAACCTCGACACAGGCAAGTGAATAGTACCAAATGGGGAGTCGATGCAGCCAAAAAGAGAGGAATGTATTGGTGTGAGTAGCAGGAAACAAAGGCGTGAGTAGTGGAAAGTAAATGGCTTGATAACGGGAAACAACGAAGCGGAAATTAGAGGTGACAATAGCTGGAAGCAGCTAAATAGAGACGACAACAGTGGAAAATACTGGTGTGTAAACGAACCTGGTTGTAGTAGGGTAGGGAAACTAATAATAAGAGTCTGGGCGCAAAAATCTAGTGGCATGGATCCTTCTAATTCTCATTTCAACAATTCCTAAGTTGAATATGAACTATAGGTTTGCCAACTTAGAACTCAATAGGTTTAGTCAAAACCTTCCAATAATGAATTAATCCTAACAAAATACTCAAAATACTAAATAAAACATTATGTTCATATATTAGCAATTATAATGGGCATGTTTTAAAAAACTAACTAAAATAAAACAAAATACAATGTCTAACACATAATGCTCATCACATTCTATGTTTGCGACATTTTCAGATTTCCATTAAATTACCTCGTTGGGTTTACTATGTTCATCGAGTACAAAATCATTACACTAGCCGATAACTTTCTTTCTTCTTGATTTGTAGGGACAAAAGCATAGATGATGCTTTTGTGATGATTCATGGCCGAAAGGTAAGAGACATTGGCATGCATTTTTCTTTTTTAGCATTTTAGTTTTTTTATCAGTTCTTGCTCACGTCATTTTTTCTTGATAAATTGACATGAAAGCATAAGGTAGGTTACTTCACAAAATATGTTTATAGATACTTTGCTCTTTTGTAAGTGTTGTTACAGTACACTGCACTCGTTAGAACGCCAATTTCAACTTCCAATGTTAGTCTCAAGGGAATATTAGGTGTGCGTCACATATTGCAGTGAATTACCTCAACTGCTGTATATTTTTGTCTAGGTTCAGATCATGCACCTTTTCTTTTAAGGATATGTTAATGTGACTATGATAGGTCCGTGAAGTTGTTGGCTTTTGGTCTTGTCAATCCTTATCCCGTTGGGATGTGTTTTATCTATTGATTTGGCCAAAGTTAATTTCCAAGTGGTGGTTTAGATTTTTGTGGTCATTAAATTATTGTGATGTAGATGTTGAGAATAGAGTTATTGTAATGCACACAGATTAAACTTGGAAGAATTATTTATTTATCATTTTAAATCTATGTCATAGCTTATATAAATCATCAATATAAGCAATAACCAATAAAATCAACTAAAATCATATACATCAAAATATTTTTTAACTATTCATTCACCAAAATTTCATTTACACTAGCCAGGAGATAACTACAATCACTAAATCAGAGCCTCCTGACTACAAAAGAAAAAAAAATACAGAAAAAAGTCTAAAGAAGAACCTAAAGATTGTTATCAATATCACTGCTCATGATTTTTGATCCCTTCCCTGATCTGAAATCATTAAAGTCTACATAATAAGCTCAAAAGTTCAGCAAGTAAACAAAATAAAAATATACTAAGTCACTAATGTAAACCATTAAATAAGCCATTAACCAATTCTTTTTATTAAATCGGCTAACAAAGAATGGAATGAGGGAATTAAGAGAGAATGTGAAGAGAGAGAAAAAGAAACCTAGGGTTTGGAGGTTGTGGAGTGATTTTTGTATGTTGGCCATGTTAAGAAATTTGCTTGTTTTGCAGCAAGGAACCTCTATTTTATTTTTTATTTCAATAATTTTATGTTTTTGGTACTTTTCGGATCAAAATTTGTATTTTCATTATAAAAAAATAAGGATAATTTTGTATTGATAAAACTTTCACTGCATAACTGTGGGCTCCGAAAATTCGGCCTCGGCCTCCACTCGCTTTTCTTATTCGGCGAGGTAGTTTTAACGAACTAAGTTCCGAGGTAAATTTTGGAAGGCAGATGTGTTTGTAGATAAGACATTACCCAGAGATTTCGCCCTCATTTTGCGAGGACTTTATGATCTGAGTTCTGGTTTCATATAGGCGCAAGCCCCTATAGTTAATTACCCCTCCCGATAACGAGAGAGAACTTTCGATTAAGGCTAGTCGTCAATCAGATACGTAGAGTATACGTGTTATCTGGCATATAGTAGCAGCAATGGGTTTAGAGATTTTGGAAATTTCGATTTGAATTTGGGTATTTGTAAAGGTTTGGAAAGTTTGGGTGTTTGAGGATTGAGATATTTGAGAAATTTGATATTTAAAACTGGAATTTTCACCATCTAGAACTTAAAGCGGATGGTGGGGAATGGATGATGGGCCCGATCAAGATCCTATGGTTCCATCGTCCCGGGCCATTGTGGTCCCTGGTCTACTTAGTCAGAGGAGGTAGTCGACCCAACCTGACAGAAGGATCCTTGTCGGCAGCCATGAGTTGTTTCGTCTAAGGGGACCTTGTAGACCGGGGTTGATGTTTGTCAAAGGGGACAAATTTAAATCCACCTTAGCTAACAGAGGGCTTTGTGCCCTATCGATCATATCCTATTGATTCATATCTCAAGGATTTGATGCCAATAAGGAGCGTATTGGCGCTGGCCATAACCGGTATTTCGTGGTGCCATTTAGTGGCAAAACCACTCGGTTCAGAGGGCCCCGGGTCATAACCGTTTACCTGCAGTGCCATTTGGCGGCGAAACTGCCGGTTAGA